GTTATATAGTTATTAATTAATAATTTTTCTTGTTAATTATTAAAAATTGATTAAAACAATAAAGCGGCTATGTGCCAACAACCGGGCACATAAGCCATAATTATGCCATAAAGGCTTTGACTGGTCTCGTACTATTCGGCAGCACAGAAAACCGAGCTCAACCTGACAAACAGTTTGCCGATGGTGGTTTAATATATGTAGGGAAGCGATAAATTATTTTTGTGATTTTCTCATTAGTTAGCTTAATTTTCATTGTTGCGGGATTGAGCTCAAAACCCAAAAACACAATCTTCTGTTGAGGGAAAAACATTGACTTCTCAACATGAAGGACAAAGCCTAAGTTAGTGAGGAGATTGACAGCCTCAATAATTGATGTAATACAGCCCTCATATGAGGTGGATATGATCAAAATATCATCAATAAATATTACAAGTATATGACCATTTTTTCGTAAGGTACATAAGACTGGTTTAAGTAGTTTTATAAAGTTTCGTGGACATGTTGATAAGCCATTCGGATAAACAGTATATTTGAAAAGTTTTCCTTTATAAAAGAATTTTAAGAACTTTTGATAGTCCATATGTATACCAACAGTATAATACGCATCCTTGAGATCGAGGGATGCTAGGCAACATTCCTTTGTCATAAGTGATAAGGCGGTGTTAATGGAATCCATTTTAAAATGGTATGATTTGACATGCTCATTATATTTTTTGAGATTTAAGATAAGTCGAACCTTATCATCTTTCTTGGAAACGGAAAAGATTGGCGAAATGAACTCGCCTGGTTTGTGGGAGAGTTTTGACAATGACGTTTTTAGCCAAGAGTTTAGAAATCTCTTCGTCTATTTTAATTTCATGATCTTTTGAAATCGAGTTTGTTGGATAAATAGAACATCTTGGGGGGTCTCCGATAAACTCAATGACTTCACCTTTGACAGCCTGTGGTATACTTTTGTCAGAAGTCAAACCTTCCCACTGTGAAATAAAATATTTAATTTGGCCGCCACAAAATAGTTCAATCAGTCTTTTTAAATTTGGCAAGATTTTTGAGGTAAAGTATGTCGGAAAACCAATTACCTGATTATTTATTGATGGAAATGACTCTTCTGTTGTTGGCTTCGGAACGGACGGAATGTTTGCTGGGGAGGAAATTGATCCCTCCCCCGTTTTGGTAAAAAATGTCGCCTTTTTTTATTTGGATAAGGAATAAACCGTTGGCGCGGGAATGAATCACGCAGCAAGAATTTCCCATACAATTTAGCCTCATTGACTGATTTGCTCAGATCGTCACCAAAAAGAAATTTCTCGGATTTGTTCGATCGGTGACATTAAGCAGGCTTTAATTCGTTACTGACTAATGGGCGTAGTGAATCCCGTCTTTTATAGGATAATTCCGTATTAACACGGCCCAAAAGCGCAATTGAGTCAAAAAGACGTGAGACAACAGTACGATAATCAGGCAATGTCTTGTTTTCTCTACATTTTAGTAGCTCGTCAACAGTAACAGAAAGTGCGCTTGATACTCGAACAATAGGGTCTTGTAAGACTGCTGTGCGTAAGTCACGCTGTCGGTGAAAAGCTTTGAGGCTCGTCCAAATAGGTTCATTAACCTTTGGTACAAAAAGCTTTGGACAATTTTCAGGTGTTTTATATTTTTCAAATATCTCCTTACGCTTCTCTAGTCCGAGATCTGATTAAAACTTGTCGTTTACAATTTTTGCGATTTTTTCATGTATCGGCGGGCCTATAGAGTCTGACGGCCGTAACGATTCATCAATTTCATCTAAAAGGTCCTCATTATCTTCAAAATCATCGCCGCCAAGAATGCTTAATGTATCATCATTTACGACCCTATGAACTTCTTCTGAAGCTGGCGTATGGTTATTTGCTTCCTCTGAAGCTGGCGTGGTGTCCTCCTCTGGGACTGGCGTTTGCGATTCTTCTGAATCGACTGCCTTTGATGCGCGTTCAGCGCGTAGTTCACTTAAAAATTGTGTGGTTTCTACCATGCTTTTTTGTAGTTCGGCAAACATGTTGAACAACATTGCATTGTCTGGTGAGGGCGCTACCGCACCAGCATCTAAATTTTGTTCAGTGTCTGACATGCTACAGATAATACGAATATAAAGATAAAGAAAGTACAAAAGATAACGACTTAGCTCTTTTTATCCAGAAAAGATAGGCGTCCTCTTGAGAAGATGAATTCCAAGTTCCAACGGAGCGATAAATTGCGGGTGCTCACTGGTTCGCATGAACAGTACAACTGGTTACCTCATGCGCGGTACTGTCTCTCGTACAACTACGTAACGACTATAGCTAATGACGTAATAGAATATTGTGTTCAAGACACTCATAAAGCGATCGAAAACAATTGTTATCCAAGTGGCATTGATTTAGTGAATTTGAACATTGACAAATGCTCTAACAATGAATGGTTATCTTGTGTATCTCATAGATTAGGACATAAAACTATCCAAGAAAAGAAAAAATACGAATCGTCTGTGTATGTCTACCATACATTGATTCTGCCCACCCCCAAAAGTGAGAGGATTTTGAAAGAAGAAATTACGTCAATCATATAAAAACAGAATTCTAATATTAATTCCACCAATTAAAGTGCAAGAAACCAGATCATACAATAGGTGTACCATTTCGGCAAAAACTAATTATTGTGTGCTCGTTCCACACACAACGACAGTGGATTTGAAATTCATAAACCTTAACCTGATGAGAAACATATCCATGTGAAACATATCCATAAGAAACATATACATAAGAAACATGTGAATCTGCTTCAAAGCAGCAATTCCGGAACCACCATCACTTAAGATTGGCGATGATACGATTGAAAGAGTAAACTCGTTCAAGCTGCTAGGTCTTTGGATTAATAATACCCTTAAATGGAACACCCACATTGAAGAAATTACTAAGAAAGCAAACAAACGCTTATTTTGCCTACGAGAATGTCGTAGAGCAAATCTACCAACCAAAGTAGGCTTAACATGTTATGAAACCAAAAAAAGACCGGTCCTGGAACATGCGGCCCCAATATGGGGTGGTCTGCCACAATACCTTACAGACGACCTGGAGAGTATCCAGACTAGAAGTCTGAAAATTATTGTGCTATCTTCTGATTCTCTTCAGTCTCTAGAGCAACGTCAGGATAATCTTGCCATTCGCGAGTACAAGAAAATCATTAATGATGAAACGCACCCATGCAGGAAATATATACCTGACATAGTGACGAACACGTATGACCTAAGAACACCAAAACCTCTTCCCCAATTTCTCTCGTACACTAAAAGGCATGAACTATCGTTTATTCATAGAACAAACTCGCTATTATAGACAATATTTTTATAACTACTCCTAAAATTTTTATCTGTACATATAACTCCTAGACTGCCACTTAGATTTTACCAACTGTAAATCCATTGTATTTTTACACTAAAGATGGATTAATAAAACTATTAACTATATTAACTATCCATGTGATCTGGTTTATATCGGAGATACTTCTCGGAATCGCCCAATATGAGAAATTGAACTGAGATAACTTTACGTGATTTTTTTCTTCCATTCGTGCACTAACTCATTATAACTAATTACGGCGCATTTAGTTTAAAAGGAGACGCGAATTTAAATGTAGTCTTACATTATTTGCACTAATCACGATCCGGTTTACTGATCGAAAGCTTCCCTAGATAAATATACAAGGAATTTTGCCTAGCAAACGGTTATAATCTTCAGTTCACTATACAATTGTACAAGAAACATATAATTGGCGTATTTCCCTAATGTGAACTTTCAGTTTCAAAACTTTTTTTTTTCTGTTATAATCAGCTATAGTATGCTGTGGATGTCCATGCAATTTTCTTGATATCATCAGAACAAGTCTTTTTATATCTTTTTGCTTACATTATTATATTTTTATCGTTGATCATTATTTTTGGTCAATATTTCTCAGTTTTGACCATAGCTAATTAAATATAAAACATAATTTACCTGCACACTCGCTACCATTCCCAGAAAAGCCAATTTCACATTGGCAAGTAACGGAACTGTTAGTTTTGTTACAGTGACTCCAAGGACCACAGGGACGTTCCGGACACCCTTCCTTTACTAAAAGGAAAAATAAGTGTACGTTACTACTAGATCAAGGGTCTTTACTGAGAAAATGTTTTCTTAATGCCCCAAATAAGACACGACAGGAGTTGTATGGGTCGAGGGTTTTTGTTTTAGTACCACTGATCGACACAAGTAATTATCTTCACTTCTCGACACACGTGGAATGAAGTTTGGAGATTAATGGTCAGTGTTTTAATTGCTGGTCGTTTAAAGTTAGTGTGTTTGAATTTTTTTTTGAAACGCAAACAATTTTCTGTGTTTCTCTACGGTTAGGAATAACCTCCAAGGGAGTCCAGAGAATCAGAAGAACTAAGTGGGAAAAAAGATCCCGAAGGCAGTGGCGAAGCCAGCCCGACAATTTGGTCATGCTATGCAAATATTTCCGTGCTCATAGTCGGTGTAAACAATCAATTTCTAAAAAAATTAATAATGATAATGATTTAAAATGTACATGGCATGACCAAATTGTCAGGCTCACTTCGCCACTGCCCGAAGGACGAGTTTTTGCATGCGATTTCGAGTTCTAGCAAACTACCACAATAGTCTCTATAATGTATATAAATAAACAGAATCACAAGAGAAACGTTTTCTATTTCTTTTCTAGTATTAGTATTAGTATTAGTATTAGTATTAGTATTAGTATTAGTATTAGTATTAGTATTAGTATTAGTATTAGTATTAGTATTAGTATTAGTATTAGTATTAGTATTAGTATTAGTATTAGTATTAGTATTAGTATTAGTATTAGTATTAGTATTAGTATAACTTAATAAATATTCCTATATATAGCCAGATTTTTCGATGTATTTACAAGTTCTGAACATCTCATGAAGTACGTTCAACATGTTGAGTGATTATGCTTGTCAATTTCACAGTAAAATAGTCTAGTTCGTATCTATTTAAATTAACCGACAATTCTCTATTTCGTTTGCACTTCCTTAATTTGGTCGTAAAAACAGTCATTCTGGATTTAAAAAAGTTTTTCAAGATTGACATGCAGAGGCTCTTTATGAACAATCTCCTGTTCAAACTTGAATAATCGTGGGTGAAATATCGATCAAATAACTTTTACGAGAGCATTATGCAGGATGCCAGTAAAGATTAAATATATGAGGTGTATATGATTATTGTTTATATGTTAATTTATGTATAAACTTAGCTATATAAGAGTTGCTGTACTGAAGTTAGTGTTAGATAATAAATGTTATACATACGGGTGTACAAACAAAACATGGTGTCAGAAGTGGGATCCTGGATACAAATCGTAGAGTTTGGAGGAGTTTATTCCAAAAATGGATAAAATAAGACAACCTCCTGAGTTGCAATTTGTTTCGAGCGATGGTGATTTGTCTGAGCGGTGGAAAAGATGGATACAAACAGTCAATTTATACATGGATGTCTGCATGAAAGACGCATCTGAGAAAGAGAAATGCAACGCTATATATCATTGGTCAAGATGGCAGAGATATCCACAACACATTTGATTTTGAGACGAGCGAAGTAGACAAAATAATACCGTTAATACAAAAATTTGAAGATAAATGGCATACCAAAGCAGAATACAACAATGCAGCGATACAAATTTAATAAACGCGTGCAAGGCGAAACCGAATCAGTTGACCAATATGTTACGGAACTACGGCTTTTGGCGAAAAACTGTCGTTTTGGAGAATTACAAGAAGAGTTAATTCGGGATCGAATCATTTGTGGCATAAAAGCGAACAGACTTCAAGCTCGAATGCTTCGAGAAGACGATTTAACTTTAGACAAAGCCATTAGCATATGTAAAGCAGACGAAGAATCGCGTAAACAACTTAAAGGCCTAACGAAAGACGACAGTTTTAAAGTAAGTTCAGTAAAGAAGAGTTCAAGAAAAGGGAATAATGAAGGCAGACCAGCGAATTTTGGGCGAGAAAAACAGAAGATATCCTCGGGCGGCTTGGGCGAAGTAATAAAATTTAGCAAATGCAGGCGAGACCATCCAAGCAAGCAATGTCCAGCATATGGCAAAGTCTGTCATGCATGCCGAAAACTAAATCACTTGGCGAAGTATTTCCGCTCAAGGAAAGTACATGGAATTGAGCAAATGCATACAGATCCGGATATTCTATTTGTTGGAACGGTTGATAAGAAACACGAACAGTCGACTAAAACAGAATTGACGAAAGACGAGAGATTTATAACTCTAGAGGTTAACGAAACACCGATCAAGTTTAAAGTTGACACAGGATCTCAAGCGAACATAATTCCCTTGTCGATGTACAGAGAATTGAAAGGGCCTAAAGGACCGGTTCAGGCATCAAGGACCTCATTGACAAGTTACACTGGAGATAAGCTTAATCTTGTTGGCAATTCACGTTGATATGTATGAACAGACTGCTGAATTTCTTCGTGAGTGAAACAGATCAGTATCCTATACTGGGTTTTCAAGCGTCGCAAGAACTCGACATAATCAAAGTTGTAATGAGCACTAATAAAGAGGGAGATCTTAAGGAGAAATACTCGGATGTATTCAAAGGCTTGGGGTGCCTGAGGAAGCCATATCACATTGAATTGGATCCGGAGGTATCACCTGTAATAAATGCAGCGAGAAAAGTTCCTGTAGCAATAAAAGGTCGCTTAAAGCTTGAGTTAGAAGAAATGGAGAAGCAAGGAGTTATTCATAAAGTGGACAGACCGACTGACTGGGTCAACTCAATTGCAATAGTGGAGAACCCAGGCACGGAGAGACTACGAATATGCCTAGACCCGAAGCATCTAAATGAAGCGATCAGACGGAAACATTTCCAATTACCAACGGTTGAAGAAATAGCGTCTCGGATATCTGGTGCAAAAGTGTTCTCCAAACTAGATGCAAGACATGGTTATTGGCAGGTACCAGTGGATGAGCCAAGCCAACTTCTAACAACGTTCAGCACACCATTTGGCAGATATTTTTTCACGAGAATGCCTTTCGGCATTAAATCTGCGCAGGAAGTTTTCCAGAAGAGAATTTCGCAGCATCTTGATGACCTCAAAGGCGTAGCTACTGAGATTGATGACATACTCATTTGGGGATCTGATGAACAAGAGCACGGCGCACGGTTAGAAGCCACCTTACAACAATGTGAAGAAATAAACCTCACATTAAATGTAGACAAGTGCAAGTTCAATGTGAACGAAGTATCGTATTGTGGTCACAACTTCACGAAAGACGGGGTGACACATGACGAGTCGAAGATTAAAGCAATTCAAGATATGCCAACACCCTCGTCGAAGAAGGAGATTGAAAGATTACTTGGAATTGTAAATTACTTAGCAAAATGTGTACCTAACCTAGCAACGATAACAGCGCCAATCAGAGAACTGCTGAAGAAAGATATCGAGTTCTATTGGTCGCACGAGCAGACAAAAGCTTTTGATGAAGTTAAAGAAATTCTTACCCAGCAACCAGTTCTAAAGTTTTTTTATCCAACTAAACCGGTTATAGTGCGTTGTGATGCCTCGCAGAATGGACTTGGTGCAATTCTGATCCAGGAAGAACAACCAATTGTCTATGCGTCTCGTTCTATGACTGAAGCAGAAAACAGATACGCAGAGATTGAGAAAGAACTATTCTCTGTTTTATTTGCTCTTGAATGATTCAATGCGTACACCTATGGCGTGAAAGTCCGTGTAGAAAATGACCATAAGCCACTTGACATCATTTTAAAGAAATCCTTACATGATGCTCCTCTCAGATTGCAAAGGATGTTGTTAAGATTACAGAAATATGATTTCACCTACAAGCATAAGCCGGGCATGGATCTTGTGGTAACGGACACTCTATCACGAGCACCACTTCCCACTACAGATTCAGAGTTAGAGTAAGAAATAACTTGCTATGTGCACACGGTGATGTCCAATCTTCCTGCGACCGATAACATGATGGCGAGACTCAGGATGGCCACAGAAGAAGATGAATCACTACGGCAGCTGAAGAAGACCGTTTTGAGCGGGTGGCCAGATACGAAACGAGAAACACCAGTCAAAATTAGGGAGTATTGGCATTGTAGAGAGGAAATCTCAGAGATTGATGGAATTTTTTGAAGAATGAAAAGATCATCATCCCAAGTTCCTTTCGACCAGAAATGGTGGAAAAGATTCATGCTGGACACATGGGTACCGAAAAATGCAAGAAACCTGCACGGAATGTTCTGTATTGGCCAGTGATGAATTCACAGATAGAAGAAATGGTCTTGAAATGTCCTACATGTCTAGAATATCGACCATCAAACCAGAAAGAGCCCATGATTGTTCAACCAACTCCCACTATTCCATGGGATACTGTCGCCACTGATTTGTTCTACCGGAACAATTCAAACTATCTATTAGTTGTGGACTATTTTCACGTTATTTTGAGATTGCGAAGTTGCCAGATATTAAGAGCAGCACCGTGGTTACTTACGTGCAATCAATATTCGCCAGACACGGGATTCCAAGAGAAGTACGGAGTGATAATGGTCCGTAGTACACATCCGAAGAATTTGGAAAGTTTTCGCAAGAGTGGAATTTTCAACACACGACGACCAGTCCATACCATCCACAAGTCCATACCATCCACAATGGTCTAGCTGAAAGATCGGTGCAGACTGTCAAAAACTTATTAAACAAAGCAAACAGAGATGGAAAAGATCCTTACGTTAGTATTTTAGAATATCGAAATACACCCATTGATCAGATTGGTTCACCAGCGCAATTACTGATGAGCAGAAGATTAAGATCTGTTGTTCCCACAACGAAGTCTCTGCTACAACCTAAAGTTATTGATGAAGATCTAGCGAGATCGAAGTTCATAGCTAAGAAAACCTTTCAGAAACTGTATTATGACCGAGGCTCCAAAGAAATTCCTACAATATCACAAGGCGAGCAAGTTCGCATAAAGCAAGGAAAAATATGGAATCCAGCTGTGGTAACTAGTCAAGCAGACACACAAAGGTCATATATCGTGCAAAGTCCAGATGGAAGCACTTACAGAAGAAACAGGAAGCACATTCTCAAGACGAAAGAAGGAAACTCACAGTCATTTGGAAAAGAAGATTGTAATGATCCCATTAGTCAAAGCAATGAAGAGGATGCAGTTGATACAGAACCAGCAAATGATGGTGATAATGCAGTTTCTACAGAAGAAACATCAGAGGAACAATTACCGGTAACACTTGATAAACAATTTAGTGCATCTCCACTAAAGACTAGAAGTGGAAGAATAATCAGGAAACCAAATAGGTATAAGGACTATTAGTTATGAACATTAGATAATAGTTGTTTGACAATTAATTAAACTTTAAATCAATTAGATAATTTTAGAACAATAATGACTTTAAAAAACCGAAAAAACTTATACGCATATAGATTAGTATAGATACTTTTCTTATTTAAGAAGAGGGATGTTGTATTATTGTTTATATGTTAATTTATGTATAAACTTAGCTATATAAGAGTTGCTGTACTCACGTTAGTGTTAGATAATAAATGTTATACATACGGATGTACAAACATAACAATATCCACCACAGGGACCGCGAAACAAGGGGACCCGGGGGGCCATGGCCACCCACTTTTTCGGTGGATAATAAAAAATTACCTGGTAAACTCCAGTTTGCCTGCGTGGAATATCTCCCGTGATATCCGACCCCCCCCCCCACTTTTAAACATTTAATTTAATTTAAAAAAACTAAAACTATAAATATTCTAAAGCGCAGTTTACAATTTACAACATTGTAATCAACTATATAAATAAATGTATATATGTATAACTATGTGCCTTTTACAGGAGTCCAAAATGGTATATCATAAAATTGCTAAAAATTACAAGTCTTTCTATTAACCGAAGGCCTTTGTGAACAAAAAGGTCTTTAAAAGTTTCTGAAAAGTTGATACATTAGAATTTTCTCTTAAATTAAGAGGCAAGCTATTCCACACAACAGGGCCAGCTTTAACAAAAGCATGGTCTCCAAATGTTTTACAAGTTGTTCTAGGAACAACGAGTAGTTTCTGTCCGCTAGATCTTAAACGATAAATTCCTGCGTCCTTCAATCGAAGCAATTTCTGAAGGTATGCGGGTGCCTCCCCATGTAGCACTTTAAAAACAAGGAGAGCAATTTTGAACTCCACGCGATATCGAACAGGCAACCAATGCAGCTCCTTTAAAATTGGTGAGATATTCTCAAACCTAAGAACTACACAGACAACTCGAGCAGCAGCGTTCAAAACTCGCTGTAGTCAATTAATTTGGTACTGGAGTATACCATATAACAAAGAGTTGCAATAGTCAAGATGTGATGTGACTAAGGCGCTCTCTCCTCCGCAGAGCCTCCTTAAGTATTTACAAATAACTTACATGAAGTTTCCTGAATGAAAGGAAAGATTGAAATGAAGTTGGGGAGGCTCTGCCAGATAATGCGACGAAGTATGGTTTTTGAACCAAGCTAGTTGTTTGACCTTGAAATGTGAAAGAAATTGAAATGAATCTTCATAATCTGAGTATCGAAGTGCAATAGACTCATTTTTATAAAGATATATTGCAATTAAGAGGATATTTATAATTATACATCTCGTATCCATTGATATTCGTTTGCAATTTCTAAATATTTTTCGATGCAAATGGACAGAAGAAGATATTGATATTGAATTCACCCCAGGCTACTCAAGTACACTTGAAAATGAAAGTCGAAAACATGTTTTAACACCCCCCATGGTTGATCGAACTTCGCTACAAACGATTATATACGACGCCATATATTGATTACATTAACTCGCAGGGGCTTCCTTTATTTAGCTCTTCCCATCACTCCTCGCGCGCTCACTTTTCCCTCACTAGAAACTTCATGTAAGCCTCTGTGGAGGAGAGAGACTAAGGCGTGGATAAGTGTTTTCGTCGAGTCAGGAGTTAGAAACTTCCGAATTTGACGAATGTTATACAAACTATGAAATTCCTTGCTGCAAACTTTTCCAACGTGGACACTCATTGACATGTGATTATCGAATTAAGTACCGAGGTTGTCCCTGCACCAATTACGTATATTCGAGCACGTAAATCGCGGAATGTTGGATGTGTCAGTAAACGTAAACGTCGCTGTTTCTTATACCCGAAGCGGTTACCTGACTTTAATTAATAATATTTTTTTTGCAAAACAAAGAAAAGTGATCTTCCAATAGGCTATGTTTGCATAAACAATACATATAATAGATGATAAATTGAGAAACAATGTTACAAATAATTGGAAAAAAAACACCATTTATATTCCACCTATTCCTGATTTCAAGTAATGTGCTCGCTCTGGAGTGATCTGGCCTAAACCCATCGTTATTATGGCCCGTAGTTATTCAGGTCGCTATTCGGACTATTTTTATGGGCCCACGACTCTTGACACTCTACTAATAGATAAACTCAATACAAACACAGAATGTGCAATTGATCGTTTTCGATATATTAATAATTTATAAACAATTAATTTATAACTGAAAGTAGCAATAGCCAGTTTTCATAACGTAAGAAATAACTTATACTCAACAACTATGAACTTAGTATTTTTGTCAGGTGGTAGGCCTGAATTGTGCATCTAAACGATTCAATAGTCGAAGTTTTTCTTTAAACATGTCATATATCTTAATTGACTTGCATGTCTCAGCCTGGACCTGAGCCTGTCATACCATGTCGTATTTATTTGTCCCGGCTTGTCGCCATCTTGCTGGGCGCTTGATTTTAGTTATCACCATGTAACGAACTATATTATTTAAACACGTGCATATCGTATATATTATATTAGATTTGTCTTATCAATGGTCATGCAATGTTTTGCCATGTCAATCTCCATAAATTCTGTAAATATTAATAATACCTGCATGTTCACTAGCGCCATTCACATATTGCAACACTACATGCACCTAATTATGGTAGCAAGTGTGGTCATTGAGTTTTCAAATGTTGTTTGCAAATAAGGGAAGTGGGTGCATGCAGGATCGTTTTTACTGGGAGATATTAAAAATTATTTAAGGATAGAAATGATTATATAAATTCTTTCACTCGGACAGAAATGGCAAAACCCTTTATTTGGCGCAGTCGCCATATGGCAACAAACGCAAATTGTTGTCTGCTGCTGTTGCTGTGCGACCAAATGAATATATCCCATAACACAATGCAAGCCGAATGTGTATTACTCAAAATGGCTGCCACAGGTTCTGGGTAAATACATGTAACGTGAGAAATAGAGGCAATTTTCGAGTGATTTTCGCTTGACTTTTATAAGTTTTGATTAGTCTTGTTTCTGGATAATTTTGAAAGGTATAACATACAGATTTCGACCAACAATTTTGGGAGCATGAATGATATTTGTCGATGATCAATAGCTATAAAATATGTATTTGTTGCCATATGGCAACATTGTCAAGTAATGGTAAAAAGGCATCAATCATTCTGAAATATATTTATATACTCTAGAGGTGTAAACAGATTGAGTATTTGTGGTGTAACCCACAAAAATTGAATAGATTGAATATTCTCTTCCTCAGGGCCGTCCCCAGGAAATTTTTCAGGGGGTGTAAGGTCATTTTAACCGACTGACGAACGAGCTTGTACCGACCACCCGCTAGCCATGGAAGCTTGTGGAATTTCCGATGGAGGTCAACTACGGAGCCATTTTTAGATTAAAAGGGGCTATAGCGAACGTCGAAGGCGCGAGTTTACCAGGGGAGTACTATAGGAAGGGGGGTTTTGACGCGGGTGGTGCACTAAGCACCACCCGCGTCAAAACCCCCATTTTACAGTTTAATACTTTGCTAATATTTATCCCGACATATATTCCTTGTAAAAAACTGAGTGGATTTCAACATATTCTCGATATATATTCTACTAAAGTTGTTGTAATGCTTGTGGCCTTTGTGGGACGTATATATTGTACTTATACGCATGCGAAGTGACTGACTTATAGGAGTTTGCAAAGATTCTGGGGGAAATTCTGCAGAGAATATCCCAGTTTATCCAAGATTCTCCAAAATCATAAACGACAGTAGAAATAGAGCATAAAAGGTGTATTTGAATTCATCGTATTACAAGATTTTATTAGATTATCTTAGAGTGCCCACCACTTTAACACCATCCTTTGTTTTCCCTGGGGATGTATTCGCCATGTTTAGGACTATTAAACAAGGAATAACAAAAATCCAGACATACATACAAAAATTTTTAAACAGAACTAAACAGTTGCTAAGCCCAAGTTAAAAGCGTTGTCAACGCCGTTGTTATGGTCGATATTTGCATATTACAGAGTCATTAAGAAGTGATTAACCCGTCCACCGCGTGTGGATGTATACAATTTTTATTTCACCCAGCGAGCTTGAGACAGGAACAAAATACTAACGAACAGAGAGTTATTACAGATTATATGCAAGATATGATTTCATTATCCAAGATATTAATTGGCCAGCTCCATAGTCTCGGAGCCAAGATCCATAGGCTCGGAGTGAAGCTCGAATGACTCACAGCCGAGCCCCAAAGGGCTCGGTGACAAGCTCGATTAGCTCGGAGCCGAGCTCCATAGGCTCGGAACCGAGCTCGATAAGCTCGGAGCTGAGCCCGATAGGCTCGGAGTCGAGCACTATAGGCTCGGAGCCGAGCTCCATGGGTTCTGTTCCATATGGAGCCGAGCTCCATAGCTTCTGTGAAGCTTCTATAAAGTTTGTGTGAAGCTTCTGTAAAGCTTCTGTGAAGCTTCTGTGAAGCTTCAATAAAGCGTCTGGCTCCTTAGGCTCGGAAACGAGTTCCTTAGGCTCGGAGCTGTGCTCTTAAGGCTCGGAGCCGAGCTCCTTAGGCTTATCCTAAGATAAGCTCAACGTCGACCCAACATCGACCCTACATCGACCCTACATCACACCCACGTGTCGCCGTAAATCACATATCTTAGGATAAAAGTTGCAAGGATCATGTTGATCAGAGCACGTGAAGAAGGGTCTTCCATAATTATCTTTCATTTTATTTTCATTTTTTCACACTCACCTGACTTAGCGTAAGGAGCTCGGCTCCGAGCCTACTCGTAAAAAGTTACTTAAGTTAAGTCTGACAATATGGCTGACAAAAATAGTGCTGCTGAATGGTTAGATGTTAGTGGAAACGAAGAGGCTTTAAATAAGAACGAAAGGCTTAGAGATAACCTATGCGTTTCGAATAACGGTAGACTGAAATGGCTTGGTTCATTCGAAGAACTAAAGGACATTGTCAGCAATCCAATAATGTTGACAGGAAAGTGGGCAGGTCCAGGTGGGGATTGCAAATTATTCGAAGCAGAAAATACAGAAATAAGATGGTATTCGAAGACCAAAACGTTAACAGTCAAAGGGGATAAAGCTGATGAGTTCAAAGCTAAAATAATGCCGGAAATAATTCCAAATATCGATGAACAAACAGAAGAAATTGAGAAAGATGGCGGTAATGCATTTGAGCAAGAAGGCAACCAAGCGAAACATGGGATGGGCACCTCGGATGTTGTTACCTTTGCCGAGTTATTCGAGAAAATTAGTGATGTACAACAACAAATGCATAACAAGTTTGAATACCTGTCCTCTGTGATGAAATAAGTCGAATCAAAGCTAGAACTGACGATCAGCCGGCTAAGGTCGACAGAAATAAATCAGACGAATATATAAACTATTTGCTCAAGGCCAACAAGGAACTTAAAGAAGAGAATAAAATGCTAGAGGAAAGGGCAACTAACATATCGCACATAATGACTGACTTAAATACAAAACTATAGGACCTTGAGAACGAAAAGATTGGAGATTGGAAGTCCGCGAGAAAAAATGTGATGAAATGTAGCAGCAATGAAGGAAGAGCTAAAGTCCAAGAAGAACTATTGTTGGCAGTATTGAACAGATATTCAACTTTGCAAATAGTTGAAAGTGATGATGATAGCGGAGCGAATGGCCATGCAAACATCCGCCGTGACCGATTGTAGACTGCCTTGCGTCCTCGGACAGTAGCAGGTATGACAAAAATTGCGAGACATGGCGACAAGATAAACAACAAGATCAAAAGATCGGTAATGCGTCACAAGACGAAAGACAAGAAACAAGATTCAATAACAACAGAGAATTACGCCAACAACAACATCAAAATAGGGAATCGGTTAATGACGGGCTTACTAGGTCCAGCCATACTGTCAAAACCACGGTATTAATTGGCGACTCGATGATAAAACAAATTGATTGTAAAAGATTACAACGGGCAGTTAACGGGCGGCACTCTCGTGGATCGAGAATTAGGAACGAAACTTATCGGGGAGCCAAAGTTGATGCAATGAAACACTATGTAAAGCCGTGCTTGACAACAAAACCGGACAGAATAATATTACATGTTGGGACGAATGACATTGGTACCAAGGACGAGAAAGAAATTACCAAAAGGATTGGCGATATATGCGAAATAATACACCAGGAAAGTCCGAACACGAAAATTGCCTTATCAATGTTGGTAACCAGAGCAGATAAACCTGATTATAAAGCAAAAGTACAAAAGGTAAACAAAGAACTCGCAGAATTATGTGAGTCTAATTATTATGATTTAATTAAATATGAAAACATTGAAGCCAGGCATTTAAATCCTTATGGAATCCATTTGAATAGGCAAGGGTCATCAATCATGGCAAGTAATTTACTATCGTATTTGAACAATATAAAGTATAATAGCCTGCGTGCAGGCCCAAGGGAACTGATAGTGGGCCTGCAACCATCACGCCATGTTTTCGATTTTCGCTGGCCGAACTGCCGGCTAAATTCCCATTGGCTAGCTGAGGCGATCGGTAATTAATTAATTAACCTAGCGTGCAGGCCCAAGGGAACAGCGATTCATCACAAAGGCATAGACAAAGGCTCTCGATAAGCTTAAAATTTGAAAATTGATCACTTTTTTCGATTACAAATGGAACAAGAACAGACTGTTTATTGTTTACTTGAAGGAAGACATGTTTTTGCCGTTATGCCAATGGGGATTGCTTGTCGTGAGGTGTTGGAATAGCAAATTACGACTGGGGTAAACTATAGTAACCTTTACTTGAGTTTCATTAATTTCAAACAGACTTGAGACTTCAGTTGATACGTTATGTGTTCTCACTTCCTCAAGAAAATTATTTTTTGGTTGATGTTGAGATGCAGTTGCATGTAAGGACTGTAAGCCTATTCGAAACACTTTGCGATTTTAAATACAAGGCTTCGCTGAGAGAGCGAAACAGAAGGCGGTATTAAATTGCCGTTTGAAACGAAACGATCTGGACTCGGAACGCTCTCTTCTTTTGTAGAGTTCTTTACCAAATGAAATAAATGAAATAAATTTCGTACTTTCCGCCGCCAACAAGAATTGCACACACGATCTGATAAGTGAGACAATTTATTTAATTTATAACAATGCCAATGGCGACAGCGAAGCACACATAATATAAATCCTAATGTGGTCGCACGACTTCCCTCATGATTTGAAGTTTGAGACTGGTTTTCTGTTGAAATTCGTCCTAATTTGCCTGTTCCGATTTTAGCTGAAAATGAGCACTTGCAAATTTGGCAATTACTGACTGCGTTGCTTGCTTTTTTGGAGTTAAAACGCAGCCATTTACACATTGTTTATTAGTGTTCTGAATAAGCAGAGAAAACCCGCAAATTTTAGTGCGAGTTTGTTTGTTAATATTTGGGTGATGTCATTGGTTCTTTTTTGACAATTGACGCGCGATTGGGGCGCGTTATGAAAAGGGGCGTTTTACAAAATACCGGGCCTTGCTTGCAGGCCCACTATCAGTTCCCTTGGGCCTGCACGCAGGCTAAAAGTATAATTAAAATACCGTTGCGGTTGAGAATAGCCCGAGTAGCTCAAGTTTAGCACGTAATGATTTAGATAAACAAAGCCCCGATACAAGTAATAATAATAGCTCAATTATAATGACAATGAGTAATGTCAGTAATGGACCAGAAAGCCAAAGCTTCAATAGAAATAATATAATTAAAGAGAGGGAATTAAATAGAGGATTTAAAATTGCTCATCTAAACATCAGAAGTCTCGTTAAAAACATTGATCAATTGAGGGTATATCTACAAAAAGGGCAATATGATGTAATTAGTATAAATGAAACTATGTTAGATAACACGGTAGTTGACCATGAAGTATATATATGGGGTTACGATATAATTAGGAACGATAGGAATAGAAATGAAGGTGGCGTGGCTATCTACATAAGAAGTGTGATTATTTATATAGAAAGGTATGACCTAGAAGATGATAATCTGGAAACGATAACAGTTGAAATCTCTAAGCCAAAAAGGAAGTCATTTCTAGTTAATACTTGGTATAGACCGCCTGACACTTCAAGTACCGTTTTTGCTAATTTTGAAGAATGCGTTAAAAAAATGGATGTAGAGAATAAGGAGATTATACTTATAGGAGATTTAAACTGTAATTGGGATCCAGAAAATAGTAAAACTAGCTCGCAAACAGATAAACTTAAAGATATTGCGACTACATACCAATTTAAGCAGTTAATTACGGGGCACACTCGGATTACTGAAAGCTCAGCAACGCTAATTGATTTAGCATTTACTAACAAGCCTGAAAATATTGTCAAATCAGGCATAGAACATGTTGGAATCAGTGACCACAGTCTCATTTTTATACAAAGGAAAATTTCAATACCGCGCAAACAGCCAAAAATAATAAATGCGACAAAGACTATCAAAGATTGAAACTGACCCTGTAATTGAATTAGGTGAAACAAAAATTAAGCGTGTTAAGTATTCGAAAACGTTAGGCATTATTATAGATGATCAACTTTTGTGGAAAAAACAAGTGGAATCCACTGTATCCAAGGTGTCTAAAGGTATAGGTATGCTGAGACGAATAAAGAGTTGTGCCCCAAAAAGAACATTGATAAATGTTTACAACGCGATAATACTGCCATATTTTGATTACTGTAGCCTTGTTTGGACTAACTGCAGCGAATATCTGCGCGACAAAATGCAGAAAATACAAAACAGGGCTGCAAGGGTCATCACTGGCAGACCATATGAAATAGCAACAAAAGAAATATTTGAGGAATTAAATTGGCAACCCTTAGCTGATCGATGGGAGAAAAATAAGTTAGTGTTTATGTATAAAGCGAAAAATAGTGAGCTACCAGAAAGTATGAACCAATTGTTCGAAATCGCTAATAAACAAAACTACAATTTACGCAGCAACGGTAATGATTTTCCTTTACAAAAGCCAAAAACAAATTACATGAAAAAAAGTATCAGTTATAATGGAGCAATAGCGTGGAACAATTTGTCAAATAATGCAAAAGCAACAAATATGACAATTGGCCAATTTAAGGCTGCTTTCGACCGCAAATAATACGTGATTGTCTTCTGTAAATATTTTTCTATATTTGATATTTCCTGCATGTTAACTAAGTTACTTTATATTATTCTGTAAATATCTTTCTATTTGACAACATTTCTTGCATGTTAAATCCTAATTACGTTGTTGTGATGTAAATAATGTATATTTTTAATTTAATATTTTGTAAATATTTTAAACGGCCCCTTGGAAATCAACTACCTAGGTGTGTTTGAGGGTTGCCGTTTTTAAATAAGAGTTAATAATAAAAATAATAAATAACGGAGCTCGGCTCCGAGCCTAAGGAGCTCGCCTCCGAGCCAAAGGAGCCCGGCTCCGAGCCTAAGGAGCTCGGCTCCGAGCCTAAGGAGCTCGGCTCCGAGCCTAAAGAGCTCGGCTACGAGCCTAAAGCCTGGCGCACACGGATGCGATTTAATTTTAGTGGGCCGATAAAAATCGTTTGACATACCGATATACATCGGTATACTCCGCACACGATTACGAAAAAATATGCTCCCTGAACTGTAGCCGCCATGTTGCCAAATGTATACAAGCACGTGATAACAGCATGAAATCTGATTGGTTATACTTAAAATTCCACCGATAAAATCGTAGAATATCAAAACGTTTTGATGTTGTCCGATTAAAATCGAGCAACAAAAATCGGTTAAAAATGACACCGCACACACAACGATTTTGTTACTTTTAGTCAAACGATTTTTATCGGCCGACTAAAATCGCATCGTGTGCGCCAGGCTTTAGGCTCGTAGCCGAGCTCTTTAGGCTCGGAGTCGAGCTCCTTAGGCTCGGACCCGGGCTCTTTAGGCTCGGAGCCGAGCTCCTTAGGCTCGGAGACGAGCTCCTTAGGCTAAATCATGTGGGTGTGATGAAAAATAAAAAAAAATGAAAATAAAATGAAAGATAATTACGGAAGACCCTTCTTCACGTGCTCTGATCGACATGATCCTTGCAACTTTTATATGCGATTTACGGCGACATGTGGGAGTGATGTAGGGTCGATGTAGGGTCGATGTTGGGTCGATGTTGAGCTTATTTTAGGATAAGCCTAAGGAGCTCGGCTCCGAGCCTAAAGAGCCCAGCCCCGAACCTAAGGAGCTCGGCTCCGAACCTAAGGAGCCAGAAGCTTCACAGAAGCTTTACAGAAGCTTCATAGAAGCTTCACAGAAGCTTCACAGAAAGAAGCTTCACAAAAGCTATGGAGTTCGGCTCCATATGGAACAGAACCTATGGAGCTCGGGGCTCGGCTCTGAGTCATTCGAGCTTCACTCCGAGCCTATGGATCTTGGCTCCAAGACTATGGAGCTGGCCAACATCTTGGATAATGAAATCAGGCACAATGATGAAAGCAGCCACGATGACGAATCGGATAGTGAAACGTCTCAAACAATTGACGATATATATCAGAAGCATAACTTTGTAAAGCATTTTGAAGAAATAAATGTATTTTAAAAGTGAAATCTTGTGCGAACTTTTGCCTGCTAAGCCGTGCGCCGGATTTTAAGGTAATAAATAATCCCTATCTATCCATAATAAGCACTGATGACTTTGGCGGTATACGTTTTAGAGAGCCACAAACGACAGAATTTCGACATATCTTGCATATAATCTGTAATAACTCTCTGTTCGTTAGTATTTTTTTCCTGTCTCAAGCTCGCTGGGTGAAATAAAAATTGTATATATCCACACGCGGTGGGCGGGTTAATCACTTTTTAATGACTCTGTAATATGCAAATATCGACCATAACAACGGCGTTCACCACGCTTTTAACTTGGGCTTAGCAACTGCTTAGTTCTGTTTAAAATTTTTTATATGTATGTCTGGATTATTATTATTCCTTGTTTAATAGTCCTAAACATGGCGAATACATCCCCAGGGAAAACAAAGGATGGTGTTAAAGTAGTGGGCACTCTAAGATAATCTAGTAAAACCTTGTAATACGATTAATTCAAATACACCTTTTATGCTCTATTTCTACTGTCGTTTATGATTTTGGAGAATTTTGGATAAACTGGGATATTCTCTGCAGAATTTCCCCCAGAATCTTTGCAAACTCCTATAAGTCAGTCACTGCGCATGCGTATAAGGACAATATATACGTCCCGCAAAGGCCACAAGCATTATAACCTGAGTATCAGGCCGT